GCGTCGTGTTGCAGCCGTACTGAAGTCGTACTGAAGCCGTTTGCACATGTTATCCATTACCTAACATGCCAAATATGATTAGTTAGGTTATTAGTTGTTGATATGTTTGGCTTTTGTAATGCCATCGTTGTCAAGTGTCTTGAGACCCAAAATGTGAGGCATACAATGCGAACACACACAGAATGCCATTCTTCACTACACTGCAGCATCGTGACTTGTAGGAGAGACATACTCGCACTGAAACACTAACCATGGAGGGTGCATTTACATGTTCACTGGTATGGGATTGATTGAAAATGATTAAGTCAGCTGTATTGTCTTGATTGGTCTAAACAGCAGCAGCCTTGTTCAGCTAACTGGTTCCAAACCTTTTATCTACCTCCAGCCTTCATCACTCTGCTGAACACAAAGGAAGAACACCATAATCATAAGGCAAATGTGGTACATGTGGATGTGGTAGTTTTGGAGTAAGGGTGAGAGAGAGGTCAAGTACAAAAGGCTGATTTTCTTCTTTAGAAAACACGCTTTTTAAGTATGTGGTTTATTTTAGAGGAAGTTGCGCACACTTGGATCATGAAATGTTGTTTCCCTTTTTGGGGTTTCACTGAAACCAAATCTTGTATGTGGATACCTTGTATGGCAGCGATTAAGCACATGCTGTCTGCTGGTGTAGTGCACTATACAGATGGTTGTGAAGGCTCTCCCTATTAAGCTGAAATGGATCTTTGATCTGACTGAGGCTTACATTCTAGACACACTCATGCACACTTTTGAAAAACTTGAGCCTAATTGAAAATGTAATCAGAAGCAGTTCCAAATGTTAACAGACTCTGTCCTTCTGCAACAGAAGGATGTATACTAATGTGTAATTGTTTCAGTGATTTTCATGTTTCCTGGTGTCAAGGCTAGCAGGCAGGCCTGTTGTGACGTGACCCACACGGTCGGAACTGAGCTGTGGAGGAGAATACTCAACTACCACACAAGTGAAACTTCACAACCCAGGCATTGTCATACCAGACAACCACAACCAGAACAGATGGAGCACTACCAGATGCATAGCAATAAATAGAAATGAAAGACATTGCTTAGTATATGGTTTGAATTTACACTCGCATAGTTGTAATCTGTTATTACGCACATACTGTTGTCATGGAAACACAGATTGCTTTTGTATCCATGAGAGCATCAGTCATAAACACACACGTCTAATGGCTTTAATATTAATGGACAATGCGTATTTCATCTAGTTGAATACTCAGGACACCCCCAAGACAACAGGATTACCTCCTCCTCCTCCTTGTCTCTTTTCCTCTAACACTAACCTTTAAACAAGCCCTGATTAACAGATCTGACACCAGGTACAGCAGACAGGGTAAGATTATGGTCAAATTAAGATCCAATTATACTGTGATATTTAAAACTGGAAGATTAAGGTAACACTCTTATGGTGTACTGTACGTTTTTAGATGGTATTCAGCTTCCTTCTGAAGATGAAGGAAAAATGAACATAGGATAGCATTATGTCCTCATATATTGCCTGTTCTCCCTGTACTAGATGGCCCCAACCTCAGCCTCCCACCACTCTAACCTCAGGCCCCATGCCTACATTTTCAGTTCTTGGTCCCCAGCATCGTGTTCAGCCTTTGCTACCCCCAGCCCCTAACCCCAGGGAAGTGGCTTTTGTGGAGAGCCACACAAAAGCCCAGTAGTATTTACACACACTGCTTTCTCACAGAACATTCACAGGCTGTTACATATGCGACCGAGATAACAGAGATTTTCCTCCTGTTATTTTTGTCCCCTGTTCTTCCCATGTTTGGATGATTCTCTGCATTACTTCCCAGCAAGAAGGGAAGTGATAGAGAGATCATGTTCCAGGTCATCATACAGGTGTTAACTCTAGGCTAAGAGGAATATGTAGGAGATTTGACATGAGATTAGTGTTTCGCTGTCACCTTTATGGTGTCTTGTTTCATGTAGATTTCTCTTGGGTAGGTGTCATTATTTACTGCCTGTTTTCCAGACATTTTACTGTACTTGGTCACTCATATGTGCACCGCTCTGCAATGCACATCTGGGCTAGACCCAGTAAAAACTAAAGTAATAGTATCTGGGTGGGTTAGTTAAATGGGTGCTTCCACTCCTGGTGGGACTGCATCTAAAGGCAAAACTGACATCTTCTGCTCTTTAATTAGGAAGATATGTTGACTTTTGAAATATTTATAAAAATGTTCTTCTGCTATCCGAGATTGGGTCATGGTGGCAGCAGGTCCAGCAAAGTGATCCAGATGTCCCTCTCCCCGGCAGTGTTTTCCAGCTCCTCTGTCAGGATTCTGAGGCATTCCCAGGCCAGATGACTTTTAGATATTTTTGTCTTAATACTTTGTGAATCGGAGCAGAAAAACGATAGCATCAAAAATTGGGTTTAGCAATGGCATGTTAAGATGGCAGCAGGAAGTTTGTAAATTGCAGTGTCACAGGTAGTATTCCACTGTAAAACTGGAAACAGATGTCCCATTATATTTTGCTCACTGTCTTTCTCTCTCTCTCTCTCTCTCTCTCTCACACACACACACACACATCTATCATCAAGTGTTCTTTTAATGGTGCAAACTTTCCCATTCGTTTTCAATAGCATCAACAACCCCTGAACGTGCTTGGCAGTCAAACTCTGAACTTTTACTGCCAGTCTCTTTTAACCATCATCCTCTCTGCAATTTAAAAGTATACAGCAGGCTGGGGTCCCTCTTTGTTGGGATACTTGAGTAGCTATTGAGAAGCTGCCTGAACCACAGTCTTGTGTGTGTCAAGATTCAGGGAGTGGTGTTACAGGAGAGATTCCACCAGGCCTCTGGAGTCTCTACAAAAAGCTCAAGTAAAACTTACTCATACTCTTGCGCACAAGAACTCACCATCCAGCTCACATGCACAGTATGTGCTGTTTCTAATTCCTGTATGCAGGAAAGTTGACACACTCCCTGTAAACCCAGTGTTTTCAATAGCAGGCCAGTGAGCCCTACTCTCTTGCATGCAAGGTGACGTATGAACGGACCCTGTATGACTTGAGCTTTCTGTCTTTCTCTTTGACCCACTGCTGTTGGTGGGCCAGGCTACACCACATTGTTGTCTTCTAACTAACCACAATATATTGATGACTCTTGTGAACAAGAATGCCTACGCGGTGTCCCCCTTTGTTCCAAACACTGAGAACATGTTAGGAAAAACATGCACACTCAATCAGAGCTACCATTTCAAATGAGCTGACATCTCCCAGTCTGTTTATCACGGCAATGACCAAAATATAACTGCTCAGTGAAGGATGTGAAAAAGCTGAGCATTTGCTAAAGAGGGAGCATCCTGGAAGTTTTATGTGGGAACAGACAGTGGATTTGGCCCAGAAGCCCAGTCTAAGCTGCTCTAGCCTGGATAGCTGTCAGACTGTGATGTGATTCACTCCCCTGTTGAGGTTGTGTTGCTCTCACAGTTCATATCACATATCTCATTCTCCCAGTGGCTGACAGCTGTATCGCTGCAATCTGCATTTTTAAAATCAAGAGTACATACATTGTTGACACCTGTATATGTGCTTATGCACACACATAATGTATGCTGTACAACAAACATATACACCTGGAGCTTTCATTGACAGGCTCTCTTTTTTCTCATGTTTCTCATGTCACCCCCCTTCTTCCTCATTCACTTCATCTATCCATCCACCCATACCTTCTGCCTCAACCCACCCCCCACCCCCGTTTTTCTCAGAATGGGAACCCAGAGGCTGAGGAGCTCGTCTACAGTCACTATGTGATCTGTAACGACACCCATGAGACGCTTTGCTTTGGCCAGGTGGATACAGATGAGAACGTGCTGCTGGCCAGCCTCCATAGCCACCAGTACAGCTGGAGGTCCCACAAGTCCCCTCAGGTAGCACACTCATGCACACATAGTGTACAGTACCTAGCTCAGGGGCTGGGAAAGAGAAGGCCCTCAGACATGTATATTTTGTGGGGTTTGGAAGTTTAAGTAGTTCCACACACATACAGTATGCATGCTCATAGACATCCAACTTTAAAATATCCAGAAAGAGATGATCACATTCATAATGTATGTAAATGACACACACACACCTGCTTATACAGAATAGTGTGTTAGCTTAGTATTAACACAAGCAGCACATGCACAGAAACATAATGTTAATACACAGATGGTACCTACATAAATGTGCACACAGACGTCCTGTTTACTTAATACACATGCACTACATGTGCACACACGCAGTACGGTACTAATGCTTAAAGAATGGCTTATACATACTCACTGACTTGAGCATAGAAATTCAGTCCACAGGCTCTCACACACACACACACACACACACACGCACCATCATCAGTGCACAGCCACTCTTTGTGTTTCTGTCAGCACTTTCAGACATTGCCCTGACAGCATTGTTAAAGAAGATTGATTATATTTAACCCTTTGTGGTTTGAGGTGGAGGTGGAGATCTGTGGTATGTGTGTGTTTGGTGCACACGTTTCCAGGACCAACATGTGTTCCAGCGTGAGGGTGAGATAGTCAAGCTTGAGAAAAGACATGGCCATAATTGCTCACAGTAAGTCAGTAAGTCAAGTTGTATTAATCATCGACCATGGTTAATCTGTGCTCTTACCTCACTCTTGCTTACACACAAACACACACACACACACACACACTTGGAGAGTGGCAATCTGGCATATCAGCACAGCAAATACCACATCTCATTTTAGCACTGAGCCAAAATGACCTCTGTATTTTTTGGATGTTTTTGGAAGAAAGATTGTCCAAACGGGCCAGATGTCATCATAGATGAAGAATGTGATTCCAAGATGATTCTGTCATATGTTATTCCATCATGTGTTTGTGGTATATGAAATATGTGTTCTCAAGATGACCATGATTTGTGAAACTAGATAAATAAGAAACAGTGCTGTGTTGCCAAAAACACTTGACTAACTTACTGAGCTTGATGATAAAATGCCTGCCAATGTGTCCACCTCAGCAAATTGTAGAACACACTCCAAATTACATTTCAGGGTTATAAAAATAGTGACACTGATAAGAGAAAGGGTTGTATTTCTTTAATGGTACTTGGTCCTGCAAGTGTGTTTTTGTAGCTCCTACAAATTGGTTTCCAGGCGGAGTCTTCAGTGGTCGTGCTGTTTAGTTTCAGTCCCTTGATGCCTTGAGGTGTCTAAAACAACTCTGATGATCATGGACCATCATTACCCAGAGGTCCCGACTCTCCCTTTCAACCTCTATTCTTTTTATTTGTGAGCCTGCTCTTCACTTTCAACCTCTCTTGCCTGTTTGTCAGTTATATTGCCAACCTCGCATCAGATTGTGCAACTAACACTTTGTACCATTATTGCATACTTATACTCATTTATACTAAAACTGTGCACTTTGAGGCCATCATCTCCCACCAGGCAATCCTCTCTTCATCTCACTTATCTCCAAACCCTCTCCTGTTAGGGCCTTTTCCCTCCACTACACAGACTCTATTCCCCATTGTGTAATAATTTCAGTTTCCTCCTTATGTGAGCTATATTGTACAGTAGCTATGTTAGATGACTGCTCACAGAGCCTCCAGACAGTGCCCACCACAGTACTGGTTGATGGACCTCAACTGTGTGATGACATTTGTGTGTACTCCTTGTTTTCAAGTTGTCTGAGCATTTCAAACAATAGCTAAGTCTTGTTCCTGTCCACTTTTCCACATACCCTCACTTCCTCCCCATTCCATGCATTTTTACTTTTAATCTCTCAGTTAGTGAAATCCTCACATTTCTGATTATGGCCTTGGACTATCCTCAGGACTTGCTCCACACCTGGCCTAATCTGTTCTTTGGCCATCCCCATCCCTTCTCTTTTGGATTCATACTGTAAAGTTCTTTTCGAGTACCGTTTACCTTCCTTATATCATCTATACTGGCACTGTTATGTCAGTAGTCTTGGTTTGACTCTGTTCACTCTCTTGACCGTAGCACAGTTTCCTCCCTTGATGTTACCCTCATAGCCCTCTTAAACACCATCGGGCTATATCTCACCCAGCCTTGCCCCTGTTCCCCACTTTATCAAGCGCACACACACAAATACTGAAGTACGCACTCCACGCCCCTGCTTTTCATGGCCGGTAATGTCTTGTCTAGGAGGCCTGGAGCCTGTCGAGAAGGCTAGCCATCAGCCTGTCCTCATGGCTGTGGTATGATGTGTGTGTCCCAGCTGACCTGATCCTCAGCCTCACACACACACACACACACAGGCCAGAGCTACTAATTTGCTGTTGTAAAGTAATCTGTCCCTCCTTTCTCTCTCTACCTCCCCTGAGAACTCAGTGGACATGAGATCATCTTGAAAAGATGAAAATGGGGGGGGGTGAAGAAGGTGAGATGGGGAAGACTGTGCAGGGAATTATAAGAAATTTAAAAGGAGGGTAGCACAGAGTTGTCAGGAGAGATACTGTACAGACCTACTTGAGAAAGACCGGAGGACATGGAAAATAAGAAGCAGGGGCAAAAGATGAGCCATGTTCTTAACACTCACAGACTGACTTAAAGGACTCTGTAGACAGAAATATGTCTGCTGCTGTCATTTTGTTCCTCCCACCTTCCCCACTTCTCTGTTCATGATGTCCAGTGAACATGTTAAGGAAGTATAGAAGTGTAGGACTGCCAATTGTACTTTATTGTTGTAAAGCAGCCTTTGATCCTTTTGCCTGTCCATAGTGTGAAAGCATCAGGATAGAGAGAAGTATCTTCCTAAATGTTCTTTCAGCCTGACCTCATATCTAAAATCCAATCTTCTGTGTGATTTTGTGTCTGTGTGGAAAAAAGTGCTTCATTTGTGTGATCCTGAACAGTGTAGCAGCGTACCTTCCCACGATGTTGACATACCTCTGAATCTCTGTCACTTCTCTCAAAAGAACACTCAAGCAGAGTGTTTTTGCAGTGAAACGTGAACCTCAGCTCAGGTCACACTCCCTCTCACTGCTCCTCTGTTTCTGCCTGTGTCCCTTCCACCCTCTCTACCCCCATGCTTCTGCTGTCAATTATAAACATGAGATACATTAAAAGAGTCGACCGAGGCAGTCATGTCCTCAGAGCCTGCAGTTGTCTTACCCTTGATCAAATTCATGCTCATACTGAGTGCATACTAGACCCACACATACACGCTGTGATAAAATGTTTCCTAAGGCCTGGGGACTGTGAGGCCCCTCGGTGTAGTTTCCCTTTTTCAATCACGGCATGCTGTCACACCCCAGTCTCCACCAGCCAGAGTGAAGTTGTTTATAAACACACAGATTTCCAGAATCTGAATGTAGATTTTCTTGTTTTATATATTTAAAGATAAAAAAAGATGGATGTAGAGAAATAGACTAATGCACTAGGGTGATCATGTGTATAACTATACACTCTCTGTAATTAAGCACAGTTTAGATCTATGTCTCACACACAAACACACTCACTGTTCCCACCCTGCTGTTTTTCAGGGCTGTGCGGTGTGGATGGTTGAAATATCTGGCCGCTCGGTACAGGATGCAGACTGGCTGATAGAAATCCCTGTGGTTAGTGTGGTTAGCAGGGAGAGGGGCGTAAAAGCCCCCTGGATTTGGGAAGGACTTTTTAAGTGCCTGAAAAGAGTATTCACAGTTGTAATTGTCTCCAGAACCAAGCATCTACAGTAGAGTTCTCCCTATCTCTTTCTGGATGTGTGTGTCTGTTTATTGGTATGGGTGTGTGCGTGTGGTACCAGTCCATGTACTGTATATATGTGTGTTGGGGTGCATGTGCCTGGCTCCCAAGGGAAATGGGCTGGAGATAGCAGCCCAGGACTATTAGGTTGTGGTTAGATTTGCCATGTTGTTGGAAGAAGGCATGACAGGGAGGTATTTGGTATGTGATCGAGGTGAGTGTGCGTATATATACAAAACTCCTCACACATAAGAATACATTCACAGATGCACACACACCCACAGCAGGTTTCAGGTTTTCTTATTCAAAATAAGTATATTTATTCTTTAACTTTCTTCAGTTCTTTGCTCAAGTAGGATGTCATATTTTACCATCCAGTTGTTTAAGAAATACTGCCCTCAAGTGAAGTGGTTTAGTTGTGCTGTTCATCCCAGATTTGCATGGCTTTAACTGCAGCATATTAGGCTGACCCTTTGGGAGATATTAGCTCCAGTCAGGTTAATCTACACACTGACTGATAGAGAACGGGAGACCGAGAAGTCGATGAAAGGGACTGCTGTCTGTTTTGGCCTCTGGAGAAAACCTACACTTTCCTGTTGTTTATCCAATGAGCTGGGTTGAGTCCAAAAGGAAGCCGGACTTTTTTTAGGTACCATATGTTTGTAGGCTTTAAAAAGAAGAAAATGTTGTTGTTTTTTTTTAAAGTCAGTGAACACTGCATCATTAGGCAAAGGTTAAACATTGACTTTAATCTGTACGTTTCATGACGGTTGATGTCTAAACTCGTATGAACTAGCGATGCATGAAAAATTCACCCTTGCTGAGTCATTATTAATAGTTCATCAGTGTGCAACAGTACAGTCATTTATTCTGTCACACTTTAACCTTGCCCAGGCATGTTCTCTGCAACAACCCCCTAGTGAAACATCTGATAAACTAAAGTCATAACATGAAAAAATGTCAAATATGTTAGCAGAATGATTAAATTTGAAGATGCAGAAAGTACTGGTTATTTAAAAATTTGGTGTCTATGGCAACAGAATACAATTTATGTGTGAGTCAGTGGGTCGGAAGCTAACTCAGTCCTTAGAGAGAGAGAGAGCATTGTTATCATCATGGCTTCCTGGGAAACCCTCAGGCAAACAGTCATCATTAGGTGAAATTACAGCCTTATTCATCTCTGTACGATTCATGTTC